AACAACTGTTAATATTCTTCCTGCGTGCAAAAAGTGCGAACTTCAGTAAGGATTTGCTGAACCGTCGAACTAATCAACGTCATACCTGGACTCCACCGAAATTATCATTACTATATATAGTTATCTGTACGTTACGTGGTTTCTCATCAATTTCCATCGATGCGGGCGCAAACACACACGCAGTGGCAAAATGCGTATAGGGAAGATTTGGCGGAAAGTGAATCTTTCGGTTTCTTCCGTTCAATTAGCGCTCATACCATTACAGTTATCGAATTGCAAACTGCTGATTCATTTTCTCATTGCTTGCTAAACGCGGTTCTATAACTGCAAAATGTTATCTCAATTCTTCAGTTAGTCCTTCGATCAGCCACAATACACGTCCGTATCTTTGATACAGTTTCCGTTTTATACAATGTCTATATATATAATATATTTATCGCGTAAGAATATTATCTGCCGCAAGACTGTAATTCAATTGATCTTGCAATTTAGAACGATCGTCGAATAATTTGAAAAATGCGCGCTCTCTGGTTCCAGGTTATATTGCATTACGTAAATTAATATAACACGTGATTTTAACTAAAGCAATCTTTCGTACTCTTTGTAATATCTTAACAGTCGTGCTATGTCAATGTCCGTTTAAACCAAAGAATTGTGAGAACGTCTTATGATCGCATTTTGTTTATTTTCCTCGTTCATTGAATTGTTCGTCATCACTAAATAGTTAAATCTGCAAATTATATTAATCTGCGAATTACATCACAATGCATTTATTTCAATCATAAAAACATGAAGAAAGAAAGCTATAGCTTTACATTTGTTAAAATTCACATATCAAATGGATCTGTGGACGTGTAACACGGCATTAGCAATTTATTCGTTATAGATTATTCGAAAAATTTTTATTCCATTTTCTGTATAAAATGATAGCCAATACGCTTATCATTTACAGAGAATTACGATATCATGCTTGTCATATGCTGTAAAGTAAACTCTTACAAATTTCTCATTTTTCTAAAATCTTATTTATATCGTTTCAAAGATTTGTAATCGCAAACGTATCTCATTCGATATGCAATAATATTAAACCCGTTTACCACGTATTTCGAAAAACTGATCGTGTACACAGAATGATCTCTACAACCGCACCTCAATGCAGCTTGTTCGTATTGAATTATTATATTAAGCACCTGAGTGATTTATAAGCACGTTGTGGTATGTTATTTTATTACGATGCCGACCGATGAATTAAGAGATTTCTTGTACCATACCTATTTTCTACATTTCTTACATTTTAAATCTTTCGAAAGATTAAATTCCGATTTACTTCAACAGCGAGAGACTATGATAATTCAAGACAAATATTTATATTGTATGTTAGGCTTGATGACGTCTTATTATCGACATCGGTGATGCAGCGAACAAGGAAAACCAAATTTTTTCGGGCATACTTTCTGTGATTCACAGCGAAAGGAGGATCGCGATAGAGTGGTAAAAAGAGGAGCAACGGCGAACCGCGAAAAAGCTCGACGGAATGGCATAGCTTGCAATGAGGAAACTTGCAATATAACAAGCAATAATTAAATCCCTCTTAATTCCATGTATATTAAATGATTATGTGGATGCTTAAAATCGAGAATTTATTGAATTATAAACAAGCAAGCCAAGGGATAAGGTGAAATACCAATTTTACATATTCTTACTAATCGTAAACGATTACAGTACATATAGCGACATACTAAATTATACGATTATGTATCAAACTTAAAAGAAAAATAACAAAAAATGGTATATATACATAACGATATAGGCCGCCCGCGAGCGAGCGGGCGAGCAGACGCTAATCTAATCTACGTAAGTACGTAAAAGTTTCAATTTTACACTACCGATAATAATGACATAAACGATAAGACTATATAAGATATATTGATGATTTATAATAATAATAACGTTGTACAGAATATTTATGAAAGGTCCGCTACTGGGGGGAGAACCGAGCGTGTTTCCTTCGCAAAACGTTAAAATATCGCGATCGCGACTGTTGCACATTGAGAAATCGACATACCCCATTCAATCGCTCGAGTAAGATTCGGAAGTGTAAGTTAAACGAGGGGAATATCGACTCTCTGTCCAACAGCGGCCAGACTATAATGGATGTTTTGTAAGATAAAAACAAAACGACCGCCGGAGCGCCGAGGTGTTACGTTCGGGGAAGCGAATCGATCGATTGACCCGGTCGATAGAAAACAGGCTCCGGGTCCGTCGGTGACGCTTTTCTCAAACGGGGCAAGTGAGACACGAGGAGATCGATCGATTGCTGTACGCACTCGAGCGATTATGAGAGAATCACTCGGTCCCGGGTTCATTCAGATGGGAAAAGCGGGATAGGAACAAAAAAGATAGAAAGTGAGAAATTATCCGCCACGAGGCGCGAGCGAGGGCCGATAATCTAATTAATTGTGTATGTATACAAACAAAAATAAATATAATATTGCGATTATAAATATTAAACTAATAAAAAATAACAATATATATATTATACCCCTCTGTACATATAAATATATATTATATGATACGATGATTATTGCGATATATGATTTATTATAAATATATATACATAAATATAAATATAAACTCACATGAATTCTCTCACATTATTATGTTTATTATTGTTTACTTATGATTATTGAAAATTATTATCATTGCGACGATGACGGAGGATAATGACGGGGAAGATGATGATGATGATGATGATGACGATTATGATTATTATTATTATTACGATAATATTATTAATATTTAAGAAAAGGTTCACAACGTGCCGTGTGTATGTGGGAATAAAATATATAATATAATGGACATTGTTCAATTCAATCTAACGTCTTTGTGGTTTATTACTCCCTACCTTTCAACGTACCTAGACAGCACAACTGATTGTTATGAAATTAAAAAGAATTCCTTTCCAATTAATACAAAAAGGGTTTCATAGAAACATACATTTTGACTTATTCTCTGGCGTTAAATCGAAATTGTTCTGAGAAAGGTTTTTTTGTACTAGATTCAAAAAGAATCGTTTATTTGTGAGCAGTACGCGGCATCCTCAACAGATAGATGCGGCAGAATTACATTTCTTGTAAGAAGAAATCATACAGAATAAAAGGGCATAGAAAAGATATAGCATCATGAGATTTTTATTTATATTCTAACGAAATTTTGTTAGAACGAATACGAACAAGCACGAGTGAATATAAGCAAACACGAAAAATCGTGATCACACATGTACGAACATGAGAAAATGCAAACGAGCGTAACGCTTTAAATATATTTTTGTAGGTGCTACATTACCATCTCTGTTTTTCTTTTTTTTTTTATTTTTTATTTAGCAGTGTCGCCGCATTTTTATAAATAACATCCTAAATAATACATATTTTTATTTATTTAAATTGAAAAAGTAATTAGACTCCCATAAATAAATCAGAAATAATAATTGAATAATGCCAATGCGAGCCGACATGGATGCTGGTGTGTATAATAATTTTTATTGTTAAAATATTTTAATTTATTTCATAACATTGAGTCTAAAATTGAAATAATGCACTGTGGCAAATGTAACCGTTAAGTTTAATTTCAATTAAAACTACTGATTATTAACAAAGTTTTGATACAACATGTAACTGGGGAAGGGGGGGGATTATAATACCTTCTCCTCTAAAATTTCCGTGTAAAATTTGTAAAAAGTATGAGAGATATCCTATACACTGTTTATAAATCTCATTCGATCCTAGATATAGCGGAAGAAAATCTCAAAGTCGTAAACATTACCTACCGAATTCATGAACATTGGAGTTCATATACATAGTTCAATATCCACGTTTTATGGACACAACAACGCTTCAGAATAACAGTGATTAGAGGGTCTCTGAACCGATGCTGGAACGACAACTGAAACTCCGGCGTTGCTGTTTCACCAACGATTTATGCATGTAAATACAGTCGAATCTCGATAACTCGATCGAACCTCTACAACTCGAAAATCTTTGAAAGTCGGAGATTTTGTTTATTCCCTTCCGCTTCACTACGGTAAACCTCTATAAATTGAAATAAAACCTATCTTAACTTGAATTATTTGTCAGATATTTAGATATATTATTTTATCTCTGCAACTCAAAATTAAATTAGCTAGACCTCTACAAGTTGAAATTCACTTCTATAAGACGTAATAACTTCGTATAGCATCAA